TTTTTTATTTCTATCTTGAATTGAGCAAAAGAAGCCCATTCCAATAACTAACATTACCATTTAGCATGGTTCCTATACACATAAGTACAGCCAAATAGACAAGATATGTTTCTTTTCAATATGAACCATATGATATACTAAGGACTAAGATAATAAAAATTATATTATACAATACTTTATAATTAAGGGTATCTAGTTTAATCTATCCACAATAGACAAATTTAACAATAAGCAAATTCAAATTTTTATAGTAAACTAAAAATCATTTAAAATCGAATTTGAACCAGTATTATGGGAAAATTCATAAACTAAGGGAGAAATATGGAATCTATTTTAGGCATAATTTTCGTAAGATGTTTTCTCAATACTTTCGTGTTTATTGTGTCTCCAGCAATAAAAATGCAAACTTAAGACTGAAATTGAATGCAGACCAATTATTGCAAAAAAAAAAATCTTTCTATATACCAATCAATGTTCTTATATATGGAGCTTCCCAGCGTCAGTCCCAGCATGCACTCCAGAGTTCAGTCATTACCACTGAGACTCTACCATAACATTTGATGAGAAGTTGGTCTTATTCCACAGCAGAGCAAGTTAGTTGATTATGTTTAACATTACTGTTCTTACAATGTACCAAAGCCCGATTTAAGATAACATCTTAAGATGTTAAGATAGAGAAAGTTTAAAGAAATGGACTCAATTTTGGCCTGAAGCTTTCCATTAAAAGATTCAAAGGTGTTAACAAGCTCTCTTGAAAGGTTACTAATATACTAGATGTGAAATATTCTTTGGACTTGTGAACGTACTTTCCCATAAGAATAATGGTGTAAATGGCAGACTATCGGGCTAATTCATAAACAATTATTTTATCCACAACAGTGACCAAATGTGGATAATTTTGATTTTAAAAACTAAAATCCAATGCTTTTTGAGATACACTACTTCAAGCTTGTTGAATTGTTAGCCAATATAATAGAACTGCCTGACTTGATACCATTAAATTTCTACTCACCCAACCTATTTACCTTATGATACTACGTGCATAGTGAATGCCATATAAGTATAAGAACATCATCCTCATCATTAATACATTGTGATAGTAAGTGAAAACATAAGTAGAGCTTAGGAAGATGAAATTGGATTTAAATCCCCACTTGGAGCTTAGGAAAATGTATGCTTCTGAAAAGTTACATTACTTTTCTTATTCAGTTCAATTCAGCAGAGACCTCTTAAAGATTTGTGTCAATCATTTTATTTAGCATGTCTAGAAGTAGTTTTCAACTCTAGCTTTGCAACAGAATCACCTTCAGAATTTTAAAAAATACAGACATAAGACACTATCTACAAAATCACATTTCCAGAGAAAGAAATTCATACAAAAGTATAGAGATATGTGAGTAGATAGTACATTCCAGGTGAGTAGGAAACAGGAAGGGAAGATTTGGAGTCACTGATGTTATGCAAAGCAATTCCTTATACATCTGTTAGAATGGCCACAATATAAACACCTGGAACAATAGAAACTCTCATTCTTTGCTGGTAAGAATGCAAACAACACAGCCAGTTTAAAAAGACAGTTCAGCAATTCCTTACAAAACTTAATACACTCCTGCAACATAATCTAGCAATTGTGCTCTTTAGTATCTACCCAAATAAATTAAAAACATGACTATACAAAAACTTCTACATGGATGTTTATAAATTGCAAAATTCAGAAGCAACCAAGATGTCCTTTGGTAGGTGAAGGAATAAACTGTAATACATTCAAACAATAAAATATAATTCATCATTCAAAAGAAATGAGTCATCAAGCTTTGAAAAAGACATGGAGGAAATTTAAATACATATAATTAAGTGAAATCTGAAAAAGCTACATACTATACAATTCTAAAAATATGACATTCAAGAAAAAGCAAAACTGTAGTAGAGGCAGTAGAAAGTTCAGTGGATGCCAGGAGTTCAGGGGAAGGAGGAATAAATAGGCAGAAACACAGAGGATTTTTAGGGCACTGCAACTCTTCTGCACATTACTGCAATTATGAATACATATCATTACACGTTAGTCAGAACCCATCGAATACACAATCTCAAGAGTAAATCCTAGCGCACACTATGCACTTTGGGACATGCTGGTGTGTCAATGTAGATTGAACAATTGTAATATGTACCACATTGGTGTGAGATTGTTGATAGCAGGGAAAGGATGGGGGACCATATGAGAATTCTGTACTTTTTATTCAGTTTTGCTATGAACTTAAAACTATTCAATAAAAAGTTCTTTTCTAAGAACTGGGGCTGGGGCTCAGTGGTAGGGTGCACTGGACTGGTACACACGAGGCACTGGGTTCAATCCTCAGCAGCACCATATAAAAATGAAATAAAGATATCGTCGTGTCCACCTACAACTAAAAAAATTTTTTAAAGTTCTTTTCTAAAACTAACATTTTAAAAAAGTAATGTTTGTTAAACAGAATCATTGACATACGGAGAGTCTAGTCAGTATTTACTCAATTATCCAATATGCCATACACTTTCAAATCTTAGAGCCTTAACTCATATATTCAGTCAGGTTGATGGGCCCTTCCATCCCTACCACCACTTTCTACACACCAAATTACAACTGTTCTAACACTTCAAAGTCCAACTCAGTATGTCACTGAGTTCATGAAGCTTACCCTGATCCTTCATCTTAACCACAAGCATCTTCTATACTTCTCTGTACCAAGTAACATAATTCTGTTTGATTCATGGTGTTGAAAAAAATTAATTAAAGGTGATCTTTTTAAAATTAGGGGGGATAATATCTAAAATCCAGATGGCTTACTACTCTGTAAAAACAATATCACACTATAACCAGATTGTGGCAAAAAGCAGGAACTACAATGAGATCCCTCTCTTTGTGGCCTCAACCCTGAGGCAAGGTGTTATCATTTATTATTGTTCCTATATTGCTTTTCTTACTCTTCCCACTTTACTCACTTAAAAATGCATGCTTGGCTCCAGTCCCCATTTAAGGATTTACCCTGCTTACCTATCTGCTTATGTATCATACCTCTAACCTAGAAATTTCTTGACAGCAATGATTTATTTCACCTTCTTTTTGTTTCTACACTCCTTCTTATATACTTATCAACTATTTTCTGAATTTAGTAAATTATTAATCAATACAACAGCAAAACTAATTAACACATAATTATTACAAATGTTGCTACTTAAGCTTTAGTAATTGGTAGCACTGCTTCTTTACAATGTTCAAATTCACTTCAAAATTCAAAGATATTCTTTTTACATTCTGTATCACATTGGGACTCTTTTTGAAGGCAAGAAAAAGTAAGAAGCTGAGATACAAAAATAAAGAGATCATGTATTGAAGGCTTATAATGTGCCAGGGTCTGCAGCCTGCTGCCATATTTATAAAACACAAGTCAAAAATCCATCCATCTTTTAACCAGTCCCACAGTACTCTGTATTGGTGACACAACTCCTTAAGCAAGGTAAAAACTTGTTAGTCCAGACATATGATTACTAAAAGCACATACTACATTGAGTTTCTAACCTTGATATTTAAAAGAAACAAGCAAAGCCAAAAAACATTCCTAGGTTCCACCTTCAAATGTTTAATAGGCTAACACACTATGTTGAAAAGTAACAAGGTGTTATGTAACATTTAAATAATTACTTGCCCAGGAAAAATATATAGTACTGAACTCAATAACCTTACTACAATACACACACACACCCCGTTGGAACCAACTTCCACAAAACAACCTTTTTTTCCCAGAGGAGTAACCAATGGTCCATTAAGACACTGTAAGTTAACCAGGGTAATAGTCAACATTCCTTACTCGGTGGTATTGGCTGCCACATATCAATACAAGAGAGAACTCCTACAAGGCAGGGACCCATGCCCCACTTAGCTTTGTTTGCCCCAGCAGTACTAAGGTCTGCAAAATGCTCTACACAAACTGGGCAATACACAAGAAGTGTTAAATGCGGGCGAGGAGGGGGCAGATATGTATGTGCTCAGGAAGGCATTTTTAGAATTCCATAATGTAATCTGAAGCTTTTCTCTTTATTGTAACAAAGAGAATAAACATATATCTTAGTGGCAATATATTGTTCAATTTATTGTTCAAATTTCGTAATAAAGATAATAAAACCACCTGATTCACAGGGTCTTGAAAGGATTAAATCGAATGGTATATATAAAGTCTCCTAGTCAGGCATGGTGGCACAATCCTGTAATCCCAGTGACTCAGGAGGATCACAAGTTTAAAGTCAGCTTCTGCAACTTAGTGAGTCCCTAAGCAATTTAGTGAGACCCTGTCTCAATATTAAAAAAAAAAAAAAAAAAAACAGAAAAGGGCTGGGGATGTGGCTCAGTGGTTACACATGGCTGGATTCAATCTCCAGTATCAATAAAAAAAATTAAAAATAAAGTTTCTGTAGGTCAATGGCTGGAACACTACACCACATACTACTTAAGAATTAGCTATTGAGATTACTAAAAAAAAAAAAAAAAAAAAAAAAAAAAAAAAAAGTTATTATAATAAAAGAAAGACCCACAAAGCCAGAGCTGAAAAGAAATTAACTCAGGTGAGATAATTTCACTGTTGACAAACCTTTTTAGGGCCAGATTCTACTGTAAGTATTTTAGGCTTTGCAAGCCAAGATACAATATCCTCAACCCTTGGAGTAACTATTAGCCAATTTCACATTTTTAAACTGAAAAACTATTCTTAGTTCATGGTCGATACAACAACTCACAGTCCTAGTTTGCCAACCCCCTGGATAAAATGATAATGATGGTTAATACAGTCTGTGCTTTTAAAGACAACACAAAGAAATGTTTGTGAGTTGACTGAAAAACATGTTTCCTCAAACTTCCAAAATCCAGTCAGGCAGGACTTGTGAGGAATGGAGCCAGGACTTAAGGCCTCAAGAGCCAGCAAGAACCTCACAAGGCTCTCCAGGTCCGCCAAGCCCCCGCCCACACTTACTCCCAGCAGCGGCCCGCGACCGATCACCGTCTCCCCGGGCGCCAGGGCCACCCGGGGGCCGTCGCCCAGCGGCCGCAGCTCGAAGCCCCCAGACATGGCGGGCTTAGTTAGGTCCCTTCGCAAGAACACGGGCCCCTGCAGCCGTTTCCGCCTTCCACAGACACGCGCGGGGCATGCCCAGGCCCCTGGAAAACAGAGGGGGAGGGGGAGCAAAGACTCAGCTCGGGAGAGCTCACTCCTTGAGGGGCAGAGGCCCCAGCGCCACTTCCGGAGTCCCGCCCTCCACCCAAACGAGTGACGCAATCGGGGATTCCCCCTTCAGGTCTTACAAATTATTGTTTAAAAAACCCGGCTTCCCTACACCCCCATCCATTCTCACCGCCCACCGGGTTTGGAGGACGCCGGGCCTTGTAGTCCTTAGCGCCTTCCTTTGCCTTCGTTCAAGAGCTGAGACGACATAGAAAAACTACCAATCCCAGGAGGCAATGCGCGCGCCTCTGCGCCTGTGCGAATTTGAGTCGGCAGGGCGGGGCTAGAGTGGGCGGGACGTGAAGGATGATGGGGAAGGATTCGAATCCCGGAGGATTTAAATTGCTGGAGGAGAATCCACCGCTGCCCAGTAAGTAGGAGGGTCTTCCCTTCGCGGACCTATAGGCCTGCGCGCTCTGGGGCACGACCCATGCGCAAACCAAGCCTTCCTTCAGTGGCTTGGAATCGAGGTGACAGTTTTGACAGTTGTTCATTTGTCAGTGCCAGGTGTTCTTGGGTTTCGGGCAGCTGCAGCTCACCCAGAGCACACAGGAGGGTAACTAGGATGAGACCCGAGGTCCCGACCGTGGATTCCCGAAGGATGGAGGCTCTCCGAGAGTTAGTCTGAGCCCGACGTCCTACCAAACTGAAAAGCTTGATTCATGAAAGACAGAAAAGAAGTAGTTTTCTAGGCAACTAGTCAAAACTGAACTTGAAGAAAGATTCATAGAGAGATTTTAGGAACCTGGTCAAGGCACTCCCGACTGTCAATTTCAAAAACCTTCCTCCTCCTCCAGTGGAATTCTGATGGGAGGAAGCGTTTTATTCCCCAGTGAGAACATTTAAATGCAGTGTAACATCTTCCTAATATGAGATTCTTTTCAAAAACATGGTGGTTTGGCTTTGGTTTGTTTGGATGGTAGGAGAGGAGAATGTGCGAAGATTCATTGCTCATGACTCATCGTCTTGTTTTGTCAGTTTTCTTACTTCCCCAAAACCTCAAGACAAAGTCCTTTCCTGAACACAGGGTTACAATTCTAACCACTACAAGTAATTTGTATCATAAACAACCTAAAGTATGGGAGCCACTGTGGTCTGGGCAAGTCCAGAAACATTACTGTATAGCACACTTGAATAGGGCAATTGCTATTAGCTGAGCTAAAAGAAGCATTCCGTTGTATCTTGAACCCCTTCTACTATACCCTGAAGCCCATTTTAAAATGAAGTTCAAAACGTTCTAAACTGATTTTAAGTAAATACAAGCTGTCTTTATATGTGAAGGTAGCTCAAGAATAGCGATTTCAGAACCTTTAAATCTGTAGTCACATAATCCAGCTGGCTGAATTATAAACATTGTTTATAGTTATTGCTCACTTGCTTGATGCCTTAGATACTATTATACTTAGCTCATAATTAACTATACCAGTAGGATATCTTTAAGAGGCCATCTCTTAAACACTAGTTTGAATTAAATATTTGAGACTTTGTGTCATTATGACCAGGATCTCATTCTCTAGTCCATTTCCTTTAGTATTTGTGTCAAATTGAGCCCCTACCCACTAGGTGCAAATAGACAAACAATTCTTATATGAATTACTAAAAAGAATCTTTCTTATGATTAAGTCACAAATTATAGATGAAGAACTTAATGTCAAGACATCAGTTCTTACAAACAAGTATTCTTACTTGGGTTTGATAGAATTGACTCATACTCATTTTTAAAAGTACTTTTAGTAAATACTTGAATGTGTTCTCTCGGTAATTATAAACTCAATAAATATGGTCTGACATGGAGAATCATTTCCCTTTTGGACAGTGTTCTTTTAGAAAAAAACAACAAACAAAACAAAACATTTAGAAACAACCCCATTATTAAAAATATTCCATAACGAAGGTAACCAAAATGTTGAGTGCCTCCCATGTGTAATTCAGATGTGAGGCTATTTTATAAATTATCCCTGTCAATCTTTGTGAACCACATGAAAAGCAGCATTGGCACTATTTTACAGATTCAGAAGCTTAAGTAAAGAAGAGTTAAAATTCTTTAATCATACCCCAAAAGGTATCTCATTCTGAGTAGGATTTGTAGTCTTATCTGAAGAGACAGAATATGTTTAAACTTTGCCTTTTAGGTTACAAATGAAGATAATTTATTAAAACATCACGCTATGCAGAAAAATTCCAAGAGAAACAATAATTTGAGAGTTTCTGACATAGGATTGAATTCTGTGGATGCTGAGAAGGCAATAAACGAGAGTCAAAATAACTTTGTTGAACTGCTGCCTCTAGAAGTCACTTTTAAAATTTTCAGTCAGCTGGACATTCAGAGTTTGTGCAGAGCTTCTGTGACATGTAGGAGCTGGAATTACACAATAAGAAACAGTGACTCTTTATGGAAGCCCCACTGCTTGACTGTAAGAGCTGTGTGCCAAAGAGAAATAGATGACGACCTAGAAAGTGGTTATTCCTGGAGGGTAAGTTTACCCTTTCCTGTTCACAGTGCTTTTGACAGTATTATGGTGGTGGGTTTGGAAATGGTAGGATTACATATACAGAATAATGTACAGAGTGTGAGGACTTTGGGAAATGAGTTAAAGTTATTATTATTTTCCTGCTAAATACACTGACTCCACACTATCTCCCATTCACCCTTTCATATTTTCAAATCCTAAATTCAGGAACTTTCCTGTTAGCCATTTCAGTCCCCTTATCCAAAACATCCAGTAAACTCTGTGGCTCAGTCTCTGTGTACACACATATACATAAACACATGCACACATTCATGTGCATATACATGAATGTATTAACATGTGTATATCAATGTAAGAACCTAATATTCTCAGCCCTGTGAGTCAGCTTCTCTAGTTTGAACAAATTCACTAACCAACCACTTCCTACATTCTTTTTGAACAATGATGGTTTACCCCTTTCAGGTAATACTACTAAGGAATTACCAGAAGAGTAAAGTAAAGCATGAATGGCTAAGTGGCAGATACAGCAACATATGTTCTCCCATTAGCCTCCCAGAAAAAATTATGTGCCCGATGGATGCAGATACGTGGGGAGAAATTCTAGAAGCAGAACTGGAAAGATAAGTAGAAAAAAACTACAGTCAGATCTTGTGACTTTGAAATTTCAAAATGTCTGTACTTACAAAAGTTCTGTTGATATTTTTTATCTACCTTTTTAATATTTAACATTTAAAAGTAAAACTTTATTTTTGTTTTACACTTTAGTAAAAAATATTTTTTTGCTTTTATTGTAATGTGAAAAAATCATGAACTGTTTTATGTAAGAAATAATATACTGATAGAATGATTTCAAATGTATTGTTTAATGTACTTGTGTTGGTATTTAGTAAGACTTTAAATGTTAAGAGTTTGGTATTTGTGTTTTCTGTTTAATGATAATTCAAAAATTTAGGAAGCAACTTGAAAAAACTAACTTAAACAATAGACATAAATAAACTCATGGGAGGACTACATGAAAATAATAGCAATATATTTAAATGCATAATAAACTCACATTTCAATAACTTTAAATTTTCCATTCCAGTGGAATCAAATTGAATTATCAAATTGTTAAATGTTAAACCCGTGGTTTAGTTTAAAATCAGTCTGATTTTAGGGCTAAAGCTCATCAGATTAAGATTTCCATTACTTTCCTACAAACCTGAGATTATTCTCAGTGGCTGAAAATGTGTGGAGAGTTTCCAAAGCACAAATACCATCAGAACTGCTATACAATATAGTCTAGTAAAACTTCTGATGGCCTTAGAGCACCATCTAGTGTATTATTCATTGGTATAAAGACAAAGGACTTTCAGCTCCTTTTTGTTTTCTCCATATTTAAAAGAAAATCAAAATTATCCTAAAGAATCCTTGACACTTGACTTTGTTAAAGTTTAAAACTTTCAAAGAACCTTTATTTCAACTTTTATTTCTCTTTTTCGAAAGAGCAGATGATATAATATTCCATCATAGTGTTCATTATGAATCAGGTCACCACCATGTTAAAAAGTATTTACAAAACATTTTAGTTGGTATGGGGTTTTCTTCTTTAAGTGTTCTCTATGGCACAAAAATAAGAATCCAGAAAACTAGAATTTAATCAGTAGGCAACTAAAAGAAAGAATCCTATACACTCTATACAAATTGCCATTGTTGGATCAAGCAGAAAATGAGTGATAATCTTCTACTTACCTTTTTAGAGTTGGAAAAGGCCTTGAAAATCAGGCAGTTCAGTTTCCAGGGCTGTACAATAATTTCATCCTTCAAACCCTGTCAGTCAGCAAACCCAAGTTCAAATACTTCTTATAGGATCCCCACTATGTGACAGAACCGTCCTATTGTATGCTAGGATAACTCTGATCAATATCAGTTTGTCCTCATTGAACTGAAGACCACCTTTCTGTAACATTTGCGTATTAGTTCAATCATTCTTTGATTGCCACTGCTAACCTGTCTCTTCCTATGTCTTCTCCACAACTTATGCTATTCATAGAGCATAATTCCTGGACCCAGCAGTGTTCTCTTCTGCCCATGTCTTCTTAACAAAAATGTAATTGGAAAGGAAGAGACCCTACTAATTTTATTTAATAAGAGATAATAAGAAAGCACTTTGAAATTATTGGAAAAATTAAAGCTTTAAAGCATTTTATGAATAGCATCTGTGTACAATAGCATATGGACACATATAGTAGTATCATCTTTTGTAATGGATGTGAACTCTTGTCTTTGCCCAACCCTTTCACCATCTATTGCCTTCCTCTATTAATAGAGATCACCCTAATTGGGGAAATTGTCCTTCTCACTTCTTCCCCATGCTGTTATTTACAGTGTCCTGTCTCCTTTACCTCTGTGTGAGTCTAGGGATAGAAACATGACCAAAACCACCCTCTTCCATGAGTCAGAGGAAAAAAATCCATTTCCTCTTTACTGTTGAAATGGTCCCCTGCCACGCAAAAACAGATTATCATAAGAGAATATGGAGACAACAGGAAAGAGAAACAGCTACAGGAGAGGTCTGTTTGCATTTGGGACCCTGGTTTTAGTCATTCCCTGTCTGCGTACCTAAACTAACACAAATTGAGTTTCAGCCTTTGCACTAAAAGCCCTACCTGATGTAATTTCCTTTGTTTATTTGTCTAGGGGGTGATATTTGTGGTTTAGGTAAGTCTATGTTTTTAAGATATCAAACCTTGATTTGTCCATAGTGCTTCTAATTTTATGTCCTGAAAACACTTCTTTGACTCTTACTTCCTCATCAGTCATTCATTGCTCAATCTGCTCTAAACTGACCTACACTCCACATGATTAAAACTGTTGTTATCCAAGTTACAAATGACTTAATTGATGAATCCATTGAATGCATTTTGGTTGTTCAGGTATTTGACACCCATAAACATTCAGTTCTTATAACTTCTAGGTTTGGGGCTAGAACCTCTTGGATTTTTTCTTTGCTTATTCTAACCAGTCTTTTCAGTTTCTTTCAAAGACTTACTTTCTTTCTGCTACTTACTACATGTTGATGTTTCTTAAGGAACATCCTAGATAATCCCACCCACTCCTCCAGCATCAACTATGGCCATCGTTGGTGCTGATGATGTTCACACCCAGGACACAGATCAGATCTGCCCGGTAGGCTCCAGACACCTGAATCAGAACTCATTCTCTCACAGAAATAATTGTTCTTCATCCCAGACCTCAGTGAATGATGGGCTTTGTTCAGTAGTTACCATATTTTACTCTTCTCCAACATTCTCCATGTTCAAGCAGAAGTCAAGGTTTAGTGATATTATCATCCTAATACCTAGGCATTTCAATCCTTCTCCATATTTATCTCTGCTTCATTACTTAATTCCGATCCTTATCTGAAGTTAGGATTACTTTAATAACCTCTTAACTGGTGTACCTGCCTCCAGTTCTTTCCTCACCAGTATAATCTTTCTAAGTCCCCAAATTATCATATGACCTAACTTAAACACTTCAATGCATTCAGGTAAAGGTCAAAATTCCCTGGCAAAGTTTGTACAGTTTCTAATGATGTGGTCTGACCTGTAACTAGCCTCTTATCGCACCACTATTCCATCCTATAACTTTTTAGTTCAGTGACATCAAGCTATGCAGTTCTCTGAACATGTAAATTCCCTCAATTTTCTGCCTTTTGCACAGGCTGTTTGATATATCTATAAACTTCTTCCTTTGATCCTCCATGAATTCTTTTCTTGGCAAAATCTTTTGTAGAACTCATCACCTTAGCCTGGAAACAGTCCTACCTACTACTGTTCTGGATTAAGTGACCCTTTTAAGGTTTCTGTACTTCTTTGTTTATACCACACTCAAAGCTGTCATACTATGCTAAATTTTATATTTTCTTTTTCTGTCTCTTTAGACTGTGAATTTCTTAATGGCAGGGACCATTTTTAATTTATTCTTTTGTATTCCACACGGTAGTACTCCATAGATTTGTTAAATTATTTCTATAGTTTATTTATTTTAATTCTATTCAAAATAATAATAAAATTCTTTATTGTAAGTAATTTAAAATCTGCATTGTTATAGTAACAAATTTACTATATTGTTAATGGACAAGATTGCATTGAATTGCAAGTACAATGCTCAAGACATAGGAGATGTTTGATATTATTGCTACCAAAGGAATAAGTGTTCTACTCTTCTATAAAGATGTAAGACAAAAGTAGAAGTGTTTTGTTATTTTTTTAATAAACACTTGAAAATAAACTGAGCCTCAAAAGTACCACTTATTATTTTATGTTACTGGGTCACCTCAATCAATTTTATGTATTACTTTGCAAGTTAAATGAATAAACTTTAGTTTGGTTTTTATACTACTATTGCATTAAAACAATTCGTATAATAAGTTATAAGCTATGATCACAGTTTATACCAAAAGGAAAACTTTGGAACTTGTTGATTAGTTGTATGTTATGGACTTAAACCCTGCATTTATCAGAGCAAGCCATTAGCATCTGAGAATGTGAGTGGGTGGAGCAGAATGCAAGGAAGGCGCACTCGTACTCATAGATAAAGTCATGTGTTAAGTTTACCCAGTGTGTAAAAGAAGTAAGATTATTGGAAAGAGTGTTAAGGAATTTCGAGTGTTTTTTATTTTTACAGTTAAAGATTTAGTATTTTATTTTTAATATTATTTTAATCATACATGCACACAATATCTTTATTTTGTTGTTTTTATGTGGTGCTGATTGAACCCAGTGCCTCACATGTGTGAGGCAAGTGCTCTGCCACTGAGCCACAACCCCAGCCCAGTATTTTATTTTTTTAATTCTAATTTGTTATGACAGCAGAATGCATTACAATTCATATTACACATATGGAGCAGTTTTTCATATCTCTGTACACAAAGTATATTCACACCATTTGTGTCTTCATACATGTACTTAGGGTAATGATGTCCATATCATTCCAACGTACTTTCCTACCCCCATGCACACTCCCTTTTCCTCCCACCCCTTTGCCCTATCTAGAGTTCGTCTAATCCTCCCATGCTCCCTCTCCCAACCTCACTATGAATCAGCCTCCTTATATCAGAGAAACCATTTGGCATTTGGTTTTTTGGGATTGGCTAACTTCACTCAGCAATATATTCTCTAACTTCATCCATTTACCTGCAAGTGCCATGATTTTATTCTCTTTTATTGCTGAATAATATTCCATTGTGTATACCACATTTTCTTTATCCATTCATCTACTGAAGGGTATCTAGGCTGGTTCCACAGTTTAGCCATTGTGAATTGTTCAGCTGTAAACATCGATGTGGCTATGTCCCTGTAGTATGCTGTTTTTAAGTCCTTTGGGTATAAGCCAAGGAGTGGGATAGCTGGATCAAATGATGGTTCTGTTCCCAGTTTTCCAAGGAATCTCCATACTGCTTTCCATATTGGCTGCACCAATTTGCAGTCCACCAGCAATGTATGAGTGTACCTTTTCCCTCACATCCTCACCAACACTTATTGTTGCTTGTATTCTTGGTAATTGCCATTCAGACTGGAGCAAGATGAAATCTTAGTTTTGATTTGCATTTCTCTAATTGCTAGAGATGTTGAACATTTTTTCATGTATTACTTGATTGATTATATATCATCTTCTGAGAAGTGTCTGTTCAGTTCCTTGGTCCATTTATTGATTGGATTATTTGGAGTTTTTTGATGTTTAGCTTTTTGAGTTCTTTGTATGCCCTAGAGATTAGTGCTCTATTTGATGTGCAAGTGGTAAAAATTTGCTCCCAAGCTGTAGGCTCTTTATTCACCTCATTGATTGTTTCTTTTGATGAGAAGATTTTTAGTTTGAATTCATCCCATTTATTGATCTTAATTTTATTTCTTGCTCTATGAGAGTCTTATTAAGGAAGTAGGGACCTAATCCGACATGATGGAGATTTGGGCCTACTTTTTCTTCTATTAGATGCAGGGTCTCTGGTTTCATTCCTAGGTCCTTGATCCATTTTGAGTTTTGTGCATGGTGAGAAATAGGGGTTTAATTTCATTTTGTTGCATATGGATTTCCAGTTTTCCTAGCACCATTTGTTGAAGAGGCTATCTTTTCTCCAATGTATGTTTTTGGCGCCTTTGTCTAATATAAGATAACTGTAATTATGGGGGTTAGTCTCTGTGTTCTCTATTCTGTACCATTGGTCTACCAGTCTATTTAGTGCCAATACCATGCTGTTTTTGTTAACTATTGCTCTATAGTATAGTTTAAGGTCTGGTATAGTGATGCCACCAGCTTCACTGTTCTTGCTAAGGATTGCTTTAGCTATTCTAGATCTCTTATTTTTCCAGATGAATTTCATGATTGCTTTGTCTATTTCTATGAGGAATGCCATTGGGATTTTGATTGCAATTGCATTAAATCTGTATAGTACTTTTGGTAGTATGGTCATTTTGACAATATTAATTCTGCCTATCCAAGAGCAAGGTAGATCTTTCCATCTTCTTAGGTCTTCTTTGATTTCTTTCTTTAGTGTTCTGTAGTTTTCATTATACAGGTCTTCCACCTCTTTTGTTAGGTTAGAAACTTTTCTTAAATTTCTTCTAATTTATGACCCAATCTTAGACCAGGACATAATTATCAATAAAATCTTTATAAACTTTAGACCTTAGGATACTTGCATATTTGAAAACCTAACTTGAATTATATAACATTCCTAATCATTTTAATTTCATCTTTGCTTTGATTTTATATCATCTTTTCTCCAAGATGTCATATGCTCTAATATTAACAAAAATTAGTAGTAACATCAGGAAATTTTGAGAAAAATACATAAGATGGGAAATGATGTATTTTTATCTGGATTTGAGTTGGAAAGCCAGAAATGTCAAATTGATAAATTAAATCAACAACAGGCAAAGTTAATTAATTATAATAACCAAAATTTATTGGGTGCCTCCTCTCTGCAAAGCACTATGATTATGTGGGGGTCATCTTACTCTATTTTATGGTAAGAAACCTGAAAGAGAATGATCTTATAAATCTAGTTCATTCCCACTCCTCAGCACCTGTAAGAGTATATAATACACAGTAGGTTCCCAATAAATGTTTACTGAATGAATTTAAAAACTAAGAGTATCTAATAATTCAGATGGAAAAGCCAAGCTGGTGGGGCCTGCCTATAACCCCAGCAACTCTGGAGGAGGCGGAAGGCAGAGGATCACAAGTTTGAGGCCAGCCTCAGCAATTTAGCAAGGCCCTGTCTCAAAATAAAAAATAAAAAGGTCTGGGAATGTAGCTCAATGGTAAAACACCCCTGGGTTCAGTCTCCGGTACCAAAAATAAAAAAAGGAAAAGAAAGAGAAAGAAAAACAAATGGAAAAGTCAAGAATGTTCCTACTAGTTTTTATTCTGAAAAATTTTAAACCCACAGAAAAGTAAAAATATATGACAAACAATATCCACCTAGATATAAAAGCTGCTAACACGTTTCTTTTTTTTTTTTAAGACAGAGAGAGAATTTTTTAAATATTTATTTTATAGTTTTCGGTGGACACAACATCTTTATTTTATTTTTATGTGGTGCTGAGGATCGAACCCAGCTCCTCACGCATGCCAGGCGAGTGTGCTACCACTTGAGCCACATCCCCAGCCCTGCTAACATGTTTCTACATTTGTTTTATTTAATATTTATTTTTGTTAAAATATTTGAAAGTAAATTATAGGCATGATAATATTTTACCCCTAAAAACTTCAGCATGTCATCTCTTGAATATAGTTTTCTATATGTAGAATCATTTACACATCTGAAAGTTTTTAGTGTCAATATCATATGATTTAGAGTTCATTTTAAGTTCACCAGTGGACCTCAAAATGTCTTACAGATTCAAACAAGATTTATATATGTATATAGAGTTTTTTATTTTGTTTTGGTTGGGTTAGGTTGGATTTATTGTTTGTTTTGTTTTGTTTTTGTCTCATTAATCCCTTTTAACCAGAAGCATCTTTCTGCCTTTTTTTTTTAAGAACCGAAGTTGATTATCTCATAGAATATTCTGTAATTGATTCATCTGATTCTTCATGATTTGATTCAGGTAAAATATATTTAGCAGTTAGACTACAAAGGCAATGTAATATACTTCTTATTTCATCACCTAAGAAGCATGTAACATCTAATTGTACTATAGGAGATGGTAGTCTGACATTGGATTAAGGCAGTAACCAAATTTTTCCACTTCAGAGACTTTTGTCCATAGAATCACAGCTTCTTTTTTAATAATCCCTTTCTAGATACTCTCCTGTGGCTAACTGTGTGCTAAGTACTTTGTAGACATTACCTGACACATGACTGGTTTCCTCCAAGACATTTGCTAAGTTCTCAGTCTCTACAGGATTGAAAGCTAAGGAGCTAAACCCGTGAGAAACAAAATAGAGATTTTGCAGTCTCACAATACTGAAGACACAGTGATTACAACTGAAAACCCAGCAGAGGCAAGGGATCTGGTGAACAACCTAGGTTTTCAGTTAGAACCCCTAGGGGACTCCATTCAAAGGGCTCTATCCTCAATTTGACTGGATCCCTGATTTGATTCGGGTAAATAAAACCCACTGCCTAGCAGAGGACAGGGTGAATCCTCTCAAAGAAGATGATGTGGCCTAGAGTCTCTAGTTTTCCATATGCAATGTATACATTAAATTTATAAAAAATATCAGGCATGCTCAAAGATAGTACTAAATCATTTAAAATAAGATGAGCAAAAACCAGACCATAGAACCAAGTCTCAAGAACAGTGGAGTTTAAAATGCCAAATGTCTTCTGTGATATAAAGGGGTGACTCAAAATGGGGTAGGGAGGAAGAGCATGAGAAGAAGATTACCACTAAATAGGGAAGAGGGGTAGGAAGGAAAGGGAGGGAGAAGGGGAATTACACAGAAGATGGAATGAGACCCTCATCGTTACACAGAATACATGTATGACGATGTGAGGGAAAAAAAAAGAAGTGTGTCACATTAGATTGGGTAGAGCGAAGTGATGGGAGGGGAGGGGAGGGGAAGGGGGAAAGAAGGACAGCAGAATAAAATAACCATTATTATTGCTGTATGTATATACGTGACTGTATGACCAGTGTGATTCTGCAACCTGTATACTCAGAAAAATGAGAAATTATACCCCATCTGATTCAAATGTATGATATATCAAGATCATTGTACTGTCATGTGTAACAAATTAAAACAAATTTAAAAATTTTTTTTAAAGAATAGTAGAGTTTATA